ATTAGAGGAGCATCTTTCAGGGGTGATGTAGGTACAGCTGATCCCTTACAAAATAACTGTCTTGGCAGTTAGAATTTCCTTGGGAGTGCCAAGGAAAAGAGAAGGACTGTCAGGGCAGAAAGATCACTTATAATGAAACAGAAGCTGAAGATATGTTGTTTACATATCTTTATTTTTTTTAAAGCTAATCTGGGTTTTGAGTGGATGTCAATTGAGAGAGAACTATGTCATTCTCCTTATTGTCGTCTCATTCTCTCTCTATATTAATATATATAAAAATTATTTTTTTCTTCTCTCCCCTCCCCCCCTGACATCTTCCATGTAATTCAGTAGGAATACTGGAAGGCTTTAGCAGGACTATATTCACACATTTACTCAGTGACTAAACTAACTCTCTGTTGCCAGAGCCATATTTTATATTGCTGTTAAGGAGGGGGGGGAAAAACCCACACTTTAAATATTCAAAATGTTGTATTGAGTGCATGTTTTAGCTTACTATTTTTGCTGGGATTTTTTTTTAAGGTACGTTGAAATAAAGCAAGAAGAGTTCTTTAATACTGTATGCCTTCAGGCACTTGCATTTAACATATTGTGTGTTTTAGACTGATGTGCTCACTTGCCAAAGTGAATATGCATGTAATTTTTTTAATCTGAAAAGATACAAATCTTTACATGTTCTCTGTTGCCTGAACTGTTACACGTATCAACGTCACGTGCATCCGAGCATAAGCCAAGCCCTCTCATTTGCTTGTATGAATGGTTTTGTCCTTTCCAGTGGTAATTATCCTTGATGTTTTGGCCTGCTCAGAATTTAGAGGGAAAGTGCAATGCATTTACAGTCAAGAAATTGCAGTCTGGAAACATTAGCTGGCATGTGCAGATATTCTAGGCTTTTCAGTGGATTTGTGCTGCAGTTCATATTGCGAGGTAGCAACTGTAATAGCGCTTCCAAACCTTCGGTTTAATGTTTCTCAATGTTTCTCTTCGTTGCTTGCTCTGGTTTATGTAATAAATAGTGATCTGGGGGCTGGGGTGAGGAGAGAAGACAACAAACTGTTAAGTCCTGTATCAGTCATGGTACAGTGATCTATTCACTGGGCAATATCTTCTAGCTGTGTTTCATCAATTGTGTGAGAGGGGTGGTGGTAGTATTTTCTTGTCACAGCATGGAGCAGCTTATTTGTGAGGAAAAATTCAGGGCACAAGGACCTGCGTTGGAGAGCTTAAAAAACTGTTTAAGATATATATTTGGCCAAATTTCATAGACTTTTACTTTAATTCATAGTCTGCAAAATGACAAAGGGGTGGGGAGGAGAGTGCTCCATTTCTAGTCCTGTTGCATTGAAAACCTGGTAGTGATTTGTTTTCCATCTGTTTTACTTCCATACTTGATGATGTTCAATTAATACGTGTCTTTGCTTATGCTTGTTTGATTCATCGACTCCCCCATTAGGAATCTTAAATGTTTACATGGGATTAGCCTTTTAATTGTGGTGTTTGTACTTCTGAGTGTTGTCAATTGGAAAAAAATTGAGTTATGTGAGTACATGTGCTCTGTGAGGTTCATCCAGGTTCAGTGATTTCTTGACTTACACTATAGACATGGTATAGGCAACATGTATAATACAAAGATCTTCATTTTAAAAAAGCAGTTTTCAAGACCCTGGGACACTTTTGGAAATGTTCACCCTGTGACAGTCAAAAAAGACAAAATTTTTTGTGCATTTGAAAAGGAGTCTGAACGAGTCTCTGCAATCATCCCTTATGCTTGATAATTTAGTTCAGCATCTACATTGTAAGCTGTAGAATGATGCTGTGGCCCATCTTGGATACAAATGCCAACTGCCAAGAGAGAGGGAGCAGCAAGAGTGGGCTGCTCCACAGGGAAGGCAAGGCAGGGCTGGGTGGAAGGTGACAGGCAAGAAGTCACCTCACTGACAGGGCATTGTCCCATGGTACCCAAGCCAGGAATAAAGAGCAGGTCCTGTGAGAGTAGATAGGGTCAGCCACAGCCCAGTGGTGGCCAACAGTGGAGCTAGCAGAATTATAAATTGAAATACACTTTGAACAGGTGTAGCACCTAATCTCTAAGGGGAACTGGTAACACTGAGGCCAGGTGTGCTGCAGTAGTGCATTTGGTTAGCTTCCATACAGTGAAGATGGTGGTTCTAGCCATGGCTTTCTTTGGAGGCAATGTTAGTGTTTTCCTTAAAGGTCAAGCACGCCTAGTGGAAATGCCATTTTTTTTAAAAAAAAAACTGTATTTGGAATGACTAGTGGAAGGATAATGGTATCTAAAGTCAATACAAGCCAAGACATTAACTTAGAAATTATGAGCTAGGGACCTACTGCTAAAGCCATATTGTTTTATGGAGCATCACACTTGCAAAGTTCACCATAATTTTAATTTCAGCTGTAAAGATACGTGTTATTTATTAAAACTGAGTTTGTTGTGTTAATTGTAATGCATATTTCACAATAGTTTTCTAGACTTCCAATTTTTTATCTTAGGAAATATAGTTCATAAAAAATTGTTGAATAATATGGAATTTTCCTAGTATGATTGTTACTGTTACCCATTTTATTGTGAGTTTATTATGAATATAATATGTTAATGAAATAATATAAAGTATCTGAAAGCTTTGAAAAGCGAAGTGAAATTTAACTTATTTTTTAAACAGATGTTCAGAAATGCGTTGGTGAAAATGTTTGAAGCTAAAGATTTGGACTGTGTGTTCCTAGAAACAAACAGGAGTATGAAGAAACGGTATCACATGGTATACGAATGCATTCCTCTTCCAAAAGAAGTAGGAGATATGGCTCCAATCTACTTTAAGGTAGACAAAAATGCTTTTTCTTAGGTCATTCGAATGTATTTATCATAATTCATCTATTTCTAGAAAAATGTTTTTGATATTCAAGCACTATTTTTGGAAAGATAGATTCTTTGGTCCTACTTCTTGATCCATTCTTTGATCCTATTCCTTGATCTGAAAACAAGCCCTGTGAGGTAATTCTGTTTTTCAAGTAGTCAGAGGAAGAGCTGCGTGTCACTGTGCGGCTACCTCAAGTCAGGCTGCACTGACAAATACTGGAAGAAGATGAGAGAACTGTAGTTTCCTGAAGTGCTGTAAGGATCACAATATTTATTACAAAAGTCCTGTAGTATAAACCTGAAACCACGTTCGTTTGCCAAGGCAAGCATAAAATGAGAAAATAATGTCAATTGTTTTAAGAAATACCAATACATAATGTTTCATCCCCATGTTATTTCAGTAGGCACAAATCTTACATGTGTCTTAGGTCTCTGATGAATGTTAGACAACGTGATAGATATTTCTGCTGTAGCTTTTCTGGTCTCTTTCCACTGACCCTGTAAGGAAAGGTTCATTGAACCTTCTGCCTGAAACTGAGGTCTTTTGGCTTTCAGCAACTGGATCATGATTTGCCTTTTATAAGTAAATGATTTTATTTGTTCTTTGAAATATTATTTTTGTTTTCTGAAAACAAGTAATGTGATTGGTTTTTGATGAAGTGAAGAAGTCAGTATGATGAACAGCAATGCAGTAACTTCTACCACATTTGAAACTCTCCACCTGGTTGATTTCATTGCTGTGCTTCCAGTGCTGGGAAAACTTGTGTTTTGTCTGACTACTAAAGGAATAACAAAATACAAGATTTAATGCAATGTCATGTACATAGAACTTTCTTTCAGGAGTTCCCACCATTAAAATACACAGCAAATTAAATTTAAAAGATACCTATACTATACTATACTATACTATACTATACTATACTATACTATACTATACTATACCGTACCCACTTCCATACTATGGAGGACACAGACAGCTTTAAAGGTTTTTAAGTGCAATCGGCCTCCTAAGCTGGATTCTTCTTAGTGTTTAAAAAAGGAAAAAAAGAAAGATAAAAAAGACTTAATATACTGTAATGAATTCATAAGGGGTTTTGTGTGAGCTTAGTAGAAAGAGAATGTGACCTTTTGATTGAGACTTGTTAGAGATAATTTGTGTCAGGCAAAAGTTAAATTTAAAAAAAAAAAAAAAAAGAGGAATAGATTTTAGTGACTTCAAGAATATTAATTTTACAATGCTTTTATAAAGTATGTAAGTTCTGGAAAGCAGAAAGACTGCCAAAAATAAAGTTACTTTGTTGAGAAATAATTGGTACTTGTAATTCAATATACTTCACTGCATTGAAAAGTTAGTTCTTTGCTTGCTGTATGAAGGCCTATTTTCACATTTAGATAAAATTATTTTACAGAAAGCTATAATGGAGTCTGATGAAGAGTGGTCCGTGAACAAGAAGTTAATTGATCTTTCTTCAAAAGATGTTCGGAAATCTGTAAGTAATGAAATGTATTGAACACTGAATTTCTCAGCAAGTTCTTCTCATCTGTTTTCATTATTAACTGTTTCAAAGTGAGAAAAAAGGGAACACAATTAAATTAGTGGATCAGGAGATGGCATAGGCATGATGAGAATTAAGAGACTGACAGAGCTCCTAACTGACATTAAGGAAAAGATTCCCATTTATTTCAACAATAGGTGAACTGAGCTGCAAGCATTGATTGAGAACAAAGCTGGCACTTTGAGGACATGTACCAGCATAATTTTCTTGATTAACTTTAAGAATTAAAGTAGATCAAAGGTTTGCAAATTACTTTCCTGGAAAAAAAATATGATGTGTCTTTTTCATTGACCTAGAACAGCCTTTCGTGTTGCTAAGTTTATGAAGCGGTGCAAACAAGAAGGAATTCAATTAATCTACAGCGAGGACTTTAAACTTAGGGTGGATGTAAACAGACAACAAAATAGGTGTATTTTGGGTATCTTTTGCTCATTGGTGTTTCAGTACAGGGAAAGTCAATATCTGTCACAAATAAATGAAATATAATTATCTTGACACATCATAGGGCACCAGGACATTTGATTCCTTTAAGAATCTTCTTAGCCATACATTTTTGTGACTGTATTATATACCCATTTGAAGGTATACCAGTTTTCAGATTAAGTCACGACACTTCTTTAAATTAATAAAATGCACCTGAGTGTAAATCGTTACACAGTTGTGTTACACAGTTGTTAAAATCACAGTTGTGTGATTTTAACGTTATTTTACAGTAAAAGAAATGCCTGTAGCCTTCAGACAGTTATGAGAATATAGTTTAGAGACCAAGCTGAGGTTTGTGAAGTTGGAGAGTTGTATTAGGAGATGGTGGTGCCTAGAAGGAGGGTCGGACATGACTGAGACATCATGCAGTGGGCAGATTGTGTGCAGAAATTGGGACTATGATATCCAGAGGCAGAGCTGAAGCATCCAGGCCTTGCACAGCATCAGAACCTTCTGTGCTTCTCCCTCTGCTCCCTCCAGTGAGGGAGCTGGGGGTGGGCAATGGGCTGGGAGTGGACACAGCCAGGAGAATAATAACCAGAACACTGGTGTGTTATCAGCACTGGTTTAGTGACTAGTCCAAAACTCAGCACCATATGGGCTGCTGTGACAAAAATGAACTCCATACCAGCCAGACCTGATACATTGCTAGACACAAATAAGATAAAGCTGACATTTGCCTTAAGGTGTCACCCTCCAACCCATTTTTTCCTTTTTTAATGATTTATATTTTTTTAGTTCATTTAAAATGTGATATGTTTCTTGCCATGCTACATTGGCCCTCTATATTAAATTTTAATTATTTTTAGAGTGAATTTCCAAGCAATATATGGAATATGCCTTGTGAAAATTGCGCAGTTATTTGGACTGTAGCAGAGGAAATGCTTACAAATTTGAGGCTTTGTAAATCTTATCTGGACAGGACCATCCTCAGCAATTAAGAGAGTGGAAAATAACATGTTGCAGTGAAACAGCAGAAATTACTTGCAATACTGTAGCAATAAGTGAATCTACTTCTCACTCTGTCAGACTGAAGGGTCTTTCCTTATGGCAGGAAAACCAGCATCTCCTCTGTAGGCTGACTGAATTTAATTATCCGATTCGGCAAGTTAATGATAACTTCCAGTCATGTACTGGGGCTTTTGGGTAGTGTATTCTCCACAGAGGTGTCTCCCCTTTCCCCTGAGTGTCATCGTTTCCTCTGGGTAAATATTTCCTGTTGTCACACAACACCTTATCTTTAATAAATGCAACTTGCTGGTAGTTGTCTCTAAAATTTCTACTCAACCCATGTAATTCAGAGGTCAGGAAGGCATTTGCTCGGTGTGCATGCTGCTGCCTGGTCCCTCCACGTCTCTTACCTGGTGCTGCAATGGTGTCTTCTTGAGGTTCTGCCACCCAGACATTGTTTTTTCAGTTTTCAGTGTCTTTTTATCTAGATGTTGTGTATCGTTCTTTCCCCTTGCCTGTTCGTTTTGCTGTTTCTCTGACACAATTTTATACTACACACACTTGGTTTGACAGGTGGTTTAAAACAAAATGTGATACTATCAACTGTAAAACCACTTTCAAATTTATTAAGTTATGGTTAACTAAATGCCGACAGTCTGTTAAGCATCTAAAAATGTGGGTTTGTGTGTACAGGTTCCTAAAGGATTTCCATACTTTTCTGTGGACTTTGGCCTTCAAGGAGGATTTGCTCATGTGATTGAAGATGAACACAAGTTCCCTCATTACTTTGGAAAGGTATTGACATGTAAAAGATCAATTTACCAATTATACTCTATTTTGTAAAATTCAAGTAACTAAAACAGATGCTTCCAGAACAGACACTTTCATGTACCTTATCCCAGTTTATTAGCTGGCTTTTCTTGGTGAGTCATTGTAACATAACTTGTTGAATAAAGGAATAATTGATTTCTTCACTGACTGATACTCAGAATGTGATTCTATATCCATGTTTCTTTTGAATGAATAGGAACTCTAGATCTTTGACATACTGTCTAATAGACAGAAAGTACTTGCATCTCTTTAAGATGAAGGAGAAAAGAAAGGTTTTTCATGACCTTAGTGTTCTCATAGGTGCACTGGCTTCTGCTTGTATAAATTAGGGTGCAAACAGACCTAGACAACTCCTAGTATAATGCATGTGTGATTAAATTACTCCATGTAGTACAGAGAATATAGTATATACAAGAAGAGCTGCAATAAAATATTTTTCTTTATTATGTCACAGCAATCATTTATTGAAAGCATCAATATTGCAAAAACATTAAGAGTGATTAGGAAGAAACATAACTTATTTCAGTAAGAGTGAAGAGCAAAGTGGGCAGCTTTCTTTTTTCCTGAGCTTTTCTCTTTAGTCACAAATGTACTAATATATTAACAGTCTTGCAATGTTAGGGTAGTTATGCAGTGCATTACTATGCTGTACTTAATTCTGCTGAGGCAACTATCTAACAACTGCAGTTCTAATTTTGAATTTATATATTTTTCAGTTTTAGTAACTAGCACTTAAAGAAACCAATGACAAATCTAATAATTAAAAAAAATATATTTCTATAGAAATTATATGGTAAAATAGTGTTAAGTAATATGGTAATTTTACATCTATCATTATCTATCTTTGTTTTATTTGCAAAGGAAATAATTGGTGGCATGCTGGACTTGGAACCGCGGCTCTGGAGAAAAGGAATCAGACAGAATTTTGAGGATCAGAGGAAGAAGGTGTTGCAGTTTGCACAGTGGTGGAAACCATATGACTTTACCAAAAAGAAAGAATGAGTACATCCCTGCAGTCAAGGACTATATAAGCCATAAGTTAATATTAAAGGATATTTTATATGTTTGGAATAAACACTAGTGTATTGTGTATTGCTAATATATTTTAAGCCCAAGTATATTGTTTAATTGCTGATTACCTGTTTCTGGTTTAGACATTGTGTGGATCACATGAACCTGCAAGCCTGACAAACCACAAATGTACAGTGTTTTTAGTTTTTCATTTTTGAACTGAGCCAAAAAATAATATTAATGTGGCTACTGTAATTCTTCAAAATGTAGCTTCTGCTTTTGGAGTTTTAATAATCTTTGAGGCAACTCATTTTTTTTTTTTTAATGTTGTATTTAGCATAGAGCCAGTGCTTAGTTATCATGGTGACCTTTTGTAGAAAATGGTGTAAATTAATAAAAGAACATTTTGATTAATACAAATACATTGTTGCAGAAGGAAATTGTACAGAAAATAGTTTTCTGTTTTTGTGTCCTTGTGTTCTTTTAAGTTGAGGTCATTGCAGTAATACAAATGTTCAAATATGATGTGATTGATAAACCTGCTGCTGCCCCCCTGCAGAAGAATCAATGCCTATTTTCTGTACTTTCTTTCAATATGAAGTGATATTTTCAAGCTGACCTGTTGCACAAAGAATGATGAGACAGTAGCTGGTAGCAAAGGACAGCTTTAATGGTAACAGTTAGTTATCATGACAATTAAAAAAAAAAGAGAGGGAGAGAGAGGAGTGGTGAAGAACCTTGAGGAAAAAAGCTCTCCAATGGCTGGAGAAGAAGAAAATCTCAGAGATCTCCCCAGGTAACTCTTCTGCCCTAGGCATCCTCTCCAGTGTCGCAGGTGGTCCCCCATAGTACTTTTCTGATAATAACAATATAATTTTCATCAGGAAACTCCCTGCTGGTTGTTCCCGCTTGTGATGCTGTAGCACTGATTGGAGCACGCTCTGATCAGAGGCAAGAGTTGCATATTAATTGATTGTTAAGCTTTATTCATGGATGTCACTGGGAAATGCCTGTGTGCTATTTGAAGGATTACTGCCTACTGTAGTATTCACTAGGTTTTGGTTTTTCTCTTGTGTAAAAGTTACAAAATGGGGGTAGGAAAGGGTGAGGGGAGGAAAAGGGAAATTATTGCATCAATGTCAGTCACTTTCCATAGGAAACCTGACATAGCAGGCTCTGGCTTTGCAGGTGCAGAGATGGGAGAAGAGGGCAAGGATGAAAACATTGCCACAGCATCCTCCCGGTGGATAAGGGAAAGGGAATCTCCCCCCAAAGGATAGCTGGGAAGCGGCAGAGGTGCCTTGTCTTTTAAGGCCACTGAAAAGTCTTTATTCAGTGCTGTGCTGGAGATGCAGTTTTTCTAAATGATATCGCTTCTCCCAAAATTTGTGTTCCTCAAGGGAGGCGCTGTGTTTCACCAGGGATACCTAACTTGTATGTAGGAAAATCTTCCTCTCTGATTCATGGGCTGTCCATGTTTTTATTATTCTGGTTTCAGCAAAACTACTGATATTCTGACCAGAAAGAACTGTCAAATCATAGAATCATTACAGGTGGAAAAGCCTTCTAAGATCATCAAGTCCAACCATCAAAATATGGAGTAAGTATTCTGTATCTCAAACTAGCGATACAGAAAAATGTGACTTACCCCATTAGAACTAATATGAATGTGTAAATGGAATGGGAGACTGTGCTTACCACACGTACTGGGAATAGTATCTTCTTGTAACTAGTCAGACAGACGTGTATCTTCAGGTTAAGCTGTTCCTCTTCATAAGTAAATATTCATGAGGCCATGAGAGTGTACACAGCTTGTTAGGGCACTTATGTGGAAGGTGTGGTACTCTTAGACTTCAGTCCTTACCCTTATAAATATTAAAATATTTTAAATAAACCTCCTTATCCAGAAGAATAACTTATACCAAAATTCTTTCAGAACTTAGAGGTGAAAATGTAAATTCAGGTGTCTTTAGGGAGAACAGGGATCAGAAGCTGCATTTCTTACATTGCTATAATTGTGCTCCTACGTACTCCTTGATGTAACCAGGGAGGAAAAGGGACTTCTCTCTTCAAGTGGATCTGCGTGTGTGATTTAACAGGTATTGACTTGGAACATAGTCACGTCCTGCCCTGTCTGACAGGAAGATTCTTGTGCGTAATATGTCCTGCTGCTCCTCTGCTCAGTGCCTAGCATAAAATGCAGTGTTTCCCTGCTATCAAGTCAGCTTTTTCCAACTCATAGTACCCCCCTCCTTTGTGTTCCCTTGCTGTGCTGAAGGAATTGCATCCTCTCACCTGCATTCCAGGTCTTTCAGTGGTTTCAGGGAAGGCATGCTGTACCGCCACAGCACCATTGCTGCTGCTCAATCAGGAACTCAGACTCCAGAGCTTTTAATTCAATTATGTTTGCCACTAAGTTCTCTAGAGAGAACCAGGATGGATGCTATAGTCAAGCAGATCATCTGCCTCAGGCCTTGATACCTTGAAGATTCCCTAAACAAGCTCCTCTGAGATGTTCACTTTGCTTTTTCTCAGGCTGTACTGTTCAGCCTGGTATTCCCCAGGCCCATGTGGTTGCTGTGGAAAGCTGCCTGATGCATTGGACCGTTGTCTTCATATTAAGGACTCACATTTTGAGGTTGCTATTTTTGCTCAAATTGAAGGAAAGCAACAGGAATTTGTACCACAACATTAGCTACAAAACGAAGTGCCAAAGCTGCCATGATGTCATTATCCATAACCAGTGGTTGGTTGATGTCAAGGGGGTTGCCTGAAGTTGTCTATTAATGTAAACTGAGGTAATGTAAGATGAGGTTGGTGTAAACTGAGGTCAACTCAGCTAAAATGGAAAACAAGGCTTTCTACTAGTACTGGTGTTCTTCCAGATAGGTACTTCTCATGTATGTCCATATTCCACTTGATTTTCTCTTCTCCTTTTGTGTTTTCCTTTGGAATAAGACAGTGAGATGCTGCACTTAGTGCAGTTCTGGTGTAACAGTGGTGGGCTGTTGCTTTGTACTCGTTAAAAGACCTGAAAGAGAGCAATGTGGATTTATTTTTGTTTTACTAGAAAAATCAGTATAGTGACATTCAATCTTAGGTCTTTTTGGGCTCATTTTTTCCCAATTTGTTCGTGAATCCAAAGAATGAGTTATTCCCAGGATCCTAATCAAATGTGATTTAGTGGGATTTAAAATATTGAGTTCAACCACCTTGTTTTAAATTTCGTACAAGTTCTGACTGGAAAGTAACATGTAAAAATAAATAGTAACTCTCATGGCAAGAGATCACAAATTTCTTGCCATCTATGAAAGAAACAGCATTTTGATGGATCCCTTAAGGGTTGTCTTTAGTTGAAATTTCTTCAGCATTTCCTGTCTTCTGTGTCTGTATTTTTATCATTAAAGCATGTTTTCTCTTTCTAATTCCAACTAGACTGTTGGATGAAAATATGTGGAGACACAGGATGCTATACTCTTAGTTTAAGTGTAGCTGTTTGGAAACAAGATCCTTAATATCCCAGCTAAAAGTGCCATTTTTAGACCTTACAAATCAAGGCACCCTAATGCAGCAGGAAGGAACAGACTTTAGAAATCCAGGCTTGCTAACATCGTAACTCTCATGTGCATATTGATGTAGCTGTGTGGTAATGTTACTTTTCTAGATGTTTATGTTGTTAAGAGTGAGAAGGAAGAGTAGCATGCGAGAAAGTCATGCTGCTACACCCTTTACAGGGAAGCTAGTGTAAATTTTGCCCCAAGTTAAGAACCACTGGAAGTTGGTTCTAAGAGAACATTTAAGCTTTCCTCAGGTCCCAGATTTTAAAGCTAATAATACAATCCCAGGATTGTCCCTGGGAAGTCTTTGGAAAAGAGTTATCTGTCATTGTAGTTGATGAATGTGTAGTTTTAAACATTATATCCCACTTGATGATCAGTCTTGCACAGCTGCCCACCTGTCTCTGTTTATTTTGAGGCTCATGGTAAAGCATCTGTGAAGTACTAGAACTATGTTTTAAAAGGACTGCAGGGCAATTGCAGGGCATCTTTAACTACAAACCGAAAAAGATACATACATTTTTTGGAGGGCTCTAGGAGAAGAATGAATGTCAGGGTCTATTCAGACTTTTATATAGTTTGACTATCTGGTAATTATATAGGATCAGAAGATAAGGTGGCAAATCTCTAATTCCTGATCTGTTTTTCTCCCTTTGAAGACTGTAATTACATTTCAGCAGGTTTAGGATGTGCTAGATTCTCTGACTTGAAGTGAGTGACCTTTGCAAAGGAACATTTAGAATGGTTTGGGTTGGAAGGGACCTTAAAGATCATCTAGTTCCAACCCCCCTGCCATCAGCAGGGACACCTTGCATTAGACCAGTTTGCTCAAAATCTCATCCGGCCTGGCCTTGAACACTTCCAGGGAGGGGGCATCCACAACTTCCTTGGGCAACCTGTTCCAGTGTCTCACTGCCCTCACAGTGAAGAATTTCTTCCTAATATCTAATCTAAGCCTACTCTCTTTCAGCTTATACCCCTTTCCCCTAGTTTTGTCATTAACTGCCCTTATGAAAAGTCCCTCCCCAGCTTTCTTGTAGGCCCCTTCAGGTATTGGAAGGCCGCTATAAGATCTCCCACTTCTTTTGTTTTCATCTATTGCTGTTCCTGAATATTCTTGAAATGGGAAGAAACCATTTTTACACACTGCAGGTGGGATTCAGCACCATGTTAAAATAATTGTTTGTGTCCATCTGTGAGCTGCGTGTCTAAATTCACAAAATAGTCAGTGTTGGCCTAATGGAGAAAGTTAATGGAGCCCTAGAGAGTGATTCCTCTTACGCTACTGTAGGTGACCTGATGAGTTAATTGAATCGTTCACTAGGCTCTAGTGCCTGTATTGGTTTGGGACCAATGCCTATTACTATTAATTTTAGTATGTAAAAGCAGTCTAAATTTGTCCAATGTCTGACTCTTGGCTAAGAGAAGTGCTTGATGGAGGTTTAGCCACCAGCATGGTTATCCCTGTATAGTATTGGTCTTTGTTCCACATGGATGCAAGGAATCTCAAATGTTGCAAGGTACCCCTATGCCAAATAGCAATTTTTGCAGTTAGAAATCTGAGGTTTCTTTTGCTTAGGTTTTCTCTCTAATCAGAAGTGATCTGAGCACTGAACCTTAGTCTGTCAGCAAAGAAAACTTGGCCAAAATCAATACATTTCAGTGAAATGGCTCAGCTTTATTTAAGCAGTTTATTGAATTAAACTTCATGGCTGATCTTCTCAGAAATTCTCTCTATTTACTTACCATGTTTTGAAAATAATATTGTGATATTCCCCTATTTAGTGTTTTTAGCCAACTGCATTTAGAGTGGATAGAAAACAACTGCCCATGTAAAGCAGATCTGGAAAGCTTGAGGTGGGTCCTAGTTA